GCCACTGTGATCTCCCAAGTCTCAACTTGCATCCCACGGGAAGAAGACGATCCCATGATCGACTTCCAAAAAAAAGATCTAATCAACCTCGATCTACCACACAACGACGCCTTTGTCATCAACATTCAAATCGCTTAGGCCATGGTCGACCGAATCCATGCAGACGAGGGCAACACAGCCAATATCCTGCAATTGGCAGTCATCCAACAAATGGGCTTAGAGACAAAGATCAACAAATCAGCCAGGTCACTAATCGGTTTCAATGGCGCAACAACGTTTACTCCTCATCTGTAATCAGCTCGCAAACATTCGTGATCATTGATGAAGTCTCCCCCTACAACGGCATTCTGGGCAGATCATGGATCGACAAGATCAATGCCATCACATCCGCCGCATATCAGAAAATTCGATACCAAATCCCAAGGGAGTAGGGGCAGTTGTCGTCATATTCACCCTAAACAAAAATTTGTTGGAACAAGCCATCACACTAGGCTTTCTTGCTTCAAACAACGAAGCATAATATGAGGCATTTCTCGTCGGACTACACCGAGCAAAAGAACTGTTGATCAAAAGATTGGCCATCTACTCAGACTCATAGCTGATGATGAATCAAGCCTCAAGCGAGTACATGGCAAAACATCCAAGAATGGTCTAGTACCTCAACAAAGTCCTAGGACTTTTGAAAGAATTCCCTACTTTCACCATCCAACAAGTTCCACAGGCGGAGAACACTTATGCAGGAAGTGGTGAGATACTACATGCAAGGCGACAAGCTCATTCGCAAATCATACTCCGACCCTCATCACACTTGCATAAAATACCCTCAAACACTTGAGGTCTTCTACAAAATTCACAACGGCAAGTGTGGCAACCACTCTTGGGGTAGGTCACTCACCCAGAAGGGTCTAAACATAGGCTATTTCTAGCCTACCATGCGCCACAACTCTACTGAATATGTCAAGAGATGTGATCGCTATAAGCGGTACAAACCAGTTCCTAACATGTCTACTGAAATCTACCATCTGCAGAATAGTCTGTGGCCTTTCATGCAATCGGCCTGTCTGCCGCGCAAATCTCACGGCCTGGAGTTCCGGGCCGAGGGGACGTGCGTTAACACGGGGTTTCCTGCTTTTGGGTGCGGTGCGGTTGTGCGCGGGCGTGCCAGCACGGTTTACCGTGCGTTGATGTTTTGGTGAGCGTTGGATGGGTGAATGGTGCGCCTGTTTGATCTGTCTTCTTGGTCAAACGATTGTAGCCGAGAGAGGAACTGGTCTCGGCTGTTAGGTTCACGGCCTGAACTACAAGGCCGTTGAGTGGTGGTGTTGGTAGTGGGTTTTGGGCGGTGCTCCGGCGCTCTGCTCAGGGAGCGACGATCGTGTGATATATGGGGTGAGTGAACGAACAACAAGGATGGTGCTCCGGCGCCTTGAAAATCAAGGGTCGTATGATATATTGATGAATGGATTATGCTTACAACCTAACACTACTCCTAGGAAAGCAAGTAAAGATATTGAAAGTGCATTACAGAAGAAAATAAGTTGCTCCGTGGGAGGCTTGTTTTGGTGTTTGAACCCTTTGAAAGTAGCTCGAGTCTTGTATTTATAGGAAGAGTCCCTGGATGAGTAATCGAGGCTGAATTTACGCATAGTGGAGTCTGATTAGCGCAAGTGGGCAATCCAATCGACATTTGGGATCGTGAAGTATGGTGATGAGACCCCA